TACCAGACGACCCGAGACCCGAACACGCTCGAGTCCGGTTAGTGTTAGTCAAAGTGATTTATGATCGAACAAGATTTGGTTCACACACTAATACAACTAATATATTGTATTACAATAACAATTAATGCTGACATGTGTTACTTACTTAAACGAATGTTTTTTGGTCCTAAACAAAATTTTAACTTGTCTAAAATGAATAAATCAAAAAATTAATTGTTAACAGCAACTAACTCATGTACATACATATACTTGCATACATACATACATACATACATACATACATACACACACACACACACATGCATACATGCATATGTATGTAACCATCTGGAAAATATTTATTGAAGTCAAAACTACGCAAAAGAAACGCAAATAGACATAAAAATGTAGGACATGCAATATATTTTTCGGTGTTAGGCGTCTTTTTGAAATTTTTACAGGAAAACAAAAGAAACAAAATCGAAAAATGTCTATAAAATATTTCATTGTTGATGTTGTGAAAAGAAAACAAAATGGAAAATGAAAACAAAAAAATACGAATGTGCATTTTTTCTCTTTTTCTCTCCAACTCTCTCACCTAGACTCTACACTTTAACTGTCGTGTCCCTTAAGTATATGCATATATATACATATATAAGTATATAAGTATATAAGTATATAGTGACGAGTATAGAGTTATGTCTGTATGTAAATACACACATACACAGTAGATGAAGAAGAATAATAAGTAAGGAAAGTGTTTCGAACATTTTTTTTATACTTACCCATTAAAAACGAAAGCGAAAGCAAACAAATTATAAGTCAGTGTCTACAAATTACAAATCCACAAACACACACACACACATATATATATATAGTATATAGTATATATATATTATATATATATATATATATATAGTATATATATTGTAAATTGATAAAATTTTAGACGAAACGCTCGTGTTTGAACCGTTACAATTAAGAAGAGACGATGATGAAATTGCAAGTGAGCGGAAGCGGAAACGAAAGCGAAATGATGGACTGGGGAGGGAAAGGAGAGGAGAGGTGTGCGAGCCAAGTGCGAGAACTAGCAATAATTCTAAAATGACCTCAATCAGATATTTTTTAAATTTTATATACTTTAGTCATGCATCAAGCAAAGCGCCAGCATACATACATAAATAAATAAATAAATAATTAAATAAATGAGTGAATGAATAATGAGGAAGGAATCTGTAAATAGCAACTAAACGAATCCGAATCGCAAACAACAAAACTAAAAATTAAACAAAACATGCAGAAACAGAACAAAAATGTAATACATTTTAAAATGTCTCTCGAGCGAACGAACGAACGAAGAAAGAATGTGATATTTTTCTAAGGTGTACTACAAACAAAACAAAAAATACAAAAATAACAAAAACAAAAGCAAAAACTTAAAATTTAAACAAACAGTAAGCAAGCAAGCAAGCAACTTTTTACTGATGATGAGAAATAGAAAACCAACACACAAACAACAACAACAACAGCCCCAAAAGGCCAAAAAACAAACAAAACAAAATACAATTTTTAAAAATTAAATAAATTTCACATAAAAATGAAACAAATTTAAAAATAACAGCAAAAATAGAACAAAGCAATAGAGACTGATTTTTAACAACCAAAAAAAAAAAAAAGAAAAACGATACCAACAACTTAACTTAAAACTAAAATTGAACCATAAAAAAACCCTAAAAAAGAAGTAGATTATTTTCATAAGTTAAGTAATTTATTTGTTGTTACTTTTTATTCTTAAATTGAATTTTCAAATTGTCTTAAATACTTATCTGCGAGTGCTACAACTCTGTCCCAATCCGCAATTGTCCAAGCAAGTGGAAACACTGGCAGAATAGTCTGGCAAGCAGATGATTCAATAACATCAAAGAGAACAAGAAATAGAGAGAACAAAGTATTGCTTCACTTTCAAGATCTATTCGAATGACTCAATATTCGAAATTTAAGCAGACGGCAACACTGCCACAGCAAAGAAAACAGTCACATAAGTTATTTGAAAACATCAACGAGCAGCAACGAATCGGGAGTATAAAAGGGATGGAATCAATAGAAAAAGATATTCCCAAAACAGAAATTAAATCTTAAAGTGTTTAAAAGAACACAGCTCTTCAACAGAGTTTCTTTCTGTTAATACCTCTCTAGCTGAACAATATATATGCTCGTAAAACATAGAAGAAATAAATCTCTTGAGAAACTTGCTCGATGTCTGTTGAAGGATAAACTAAAATCTCTTTTTGGTACAGGGTTGCTAGGTGAGTGCAGAAATGCTATTGATTTTTACCACCAATATATATATATTTTAACGACTTTTTATTCAAAATGATTTCTTAGCGCAATGAGTGAGAGCTAAAAAGCCGGTTAAGTTTGAGAGCCAGATGAAGACGAATTGAAGGGAAATATATGGAACCAAGTGACGCATTGTGGGGGATAGGTTTAGAGTTTAGAAGCAATGTACATTTAAGAATAGAAAAAGAACGAGGAAAGCAAATGAAACTGCAGAGGTAAGAGAGTGAAGAGGTGGAATAGGGGGAGAAAGAGAGACGAGATTTGTAGCGACGTTGACGAAAGCGTAGCTGTTTAGTGCAGATAAGCACAGAGTTGTAATTATTTTTGTGATACAATCCGAAGCGCAATTTTTTTCCAACTGTATGTATGGTAGATAAGTGTAAGAATGAGAGGGAGCGAGCGATCGAATAGAAGAGTGGGACTCTGGGAGAGCACAGCATAATGTCAATGCCTGTAAATAGTTGGAAGCTGGTGATTGGTGGTGGGCGGTAAACTGAACTGAGTTTAGTTGAGGTAAATGGATAGGGGGGCATATAATGAAGGTGCTACGAACAAAGACGTAATTGAAAATGTGATACAGTTTTTTCCTTAACCTATGTATGTATTTAATGAACGGAATGGATGGAAATAGTTGGCTATGTACGAGCGGATCGAAGCGAAGCGGAATAGAGCGGACGCTGTTTTAGCAATTTGCTTTAGAGACACGCGAATTGATTTAGTTGGTTAAGATATAGGCACGGCACGAGAAGGAGAAAGCTAAAGTTGTATCGAGTTTATTTAAAAAAAAAACTGTTTGTTTCATTTTTCGTTTCATTTCATTTCCGTTTCCCTTACAATCTCTTCACTTTACTTGCTTTGATATTATTTGTATTGGACCTTAAATGGAAACAGGTTTTGCTTAAGTTGAAATAAAGTTGATGACATTTAACCAACACAGGGTTGCCAAAAGAGCTGGTGAGCATATTTTTCGATTGCATTTACATTCGACAGCATTGAAATGAAACAGCCATGGCTGCTTAATAGCGGTCCCAATACAAAGCAAGTCACCTTTGATTGGACATGCGATCGAAAAATATACAAACATTTTATCACTTGCCCAATCCTTATAAAGCACTCGAACACAACCACAAGATGATGAAAACGAAGACGAAGATGCACAGAAGCAAATGAAAATGCAAATATGAACAAAAGAACAAACGAAGAAATTGTAAAAAATTTACACTTTAGGAAAATCTCTAAATTTTAAGCTTTCGGTGTTTTTAAGTAACATACAAATTACAACCAAAAGAAAAAATGACAAAAAAAATTAGCAAAAAAAATTAAACTAAAAATTAAACGAAATCTTTATATATGTATGTATATATACATATATATATTTCGATATTTCAAATTTAATTCGGAGCAAACCACAAAACAAAAACTTTTGAGCAAAATCTCGGTGTTTTAAAATTAAGCGTATTACAATTAACACAACAAATACATTTTAAAATACACAAAAACAACAACAAAAACAAACAAATCTAAACACAACTAATGAATATTATTGACATAATGAAAGAATAATAATTTAAGTAACAGACGTAAACCAAAAACAAAAACCTCTTTCACTTTCGTGTCTTTGACGTAAAAGCAAAACGCAAAACAAAAGAATATTAAGCATATTTTTAAAATGTAATTTAGCACAAAACACAAAAAAAAAAACCAATAAAAACTAAAACACAAAAAACAAAAAAATGAGAACATTTAAAAATGAAAAAAAAAACATTAGTAATACAATTTTTAAATTCGAATCTACCAAATTATTGATGTGTATTTAATATATGAATAAAAACAAAGAAGATAAATATGAATGAAGAAACGAAACTTATTACAAGTATGTATATGTTTATACCAATATTTTCTTATTTTGTAATTCATTCGTTTTTAAGGTCTACGATTTATTTAATTCGAACCGTTTTACAAAACTTTTACAAAACTACGAAATGCAATGCCTGCCAAAGAAAAAATGTTTTTAATGCAAAAACAAAACATATACTTATATGCAAGACAAAAACAAAAAACCAAACAACAACAACAACAACCAAGAGTTCAATAAAGCCGTTCCAAAAGAAATGACAAAAAATCAAACAAATCGACTTGTTTAGTGATTTTTTATGTTTCCTTATATGCGAAATGAAAACCTGTAAGAAAACTACGAGAAACCGAAAGAAAACAAACATACAATTTTTTGCAACTTAAAACAAAGTAAATAACTATTTGTCGTGTACAAGTAAAATTATTTGTATAGTACTAATAAAGTGAAATGTTTATTGGTCAAGAAAATATGTTTTTAATTTTAACCAAAAAATGATATGCAACAAAAACAAAATAAAACAAAGATAAAATAAATTATAAAATCAATGTATTTTTTTCTTAGGAATAACGTATTCAAACATATACGCTTTGGCGCCAAGCCCCGCGTTGCCATATAGCAGTAATCCTTAAGAGTTGTGCTGCGCATTATTTTTGGTGTAGTGTGGCAGCACCTCGCAAAAAATACCAAATGGGATAACGGAAAGAATAGAAAAAGAAAAAATTGCACTTCGGTGTAGATATTTACTCCTTTATTAAAATAATTGAATAATAATGAATGACTGACAGGCAGAATGAAAATTCTGAAAAAAAACAGCAGAATTTTTTTCTTTCTTCGTTTGATTTAATGGGTAAATTCTTAAAACATGCTCATGAGAATTTAGCAATATATCGATAGGACTGCAAAGAAATAACTACGTGACACGTTTGTCCATTGTGGCATTGTTCCATTCCAGCGGAGGCATGTCTTCTTCCATCTGGGCACAACATTTCCAAGTCTCTTGCACGCCAAAACGCAAAACTGTCTCGCTAAAGAATCGATCGTCGGACGAAAGAGCAGTCGTGGGGAAATCTAGATTATTCACAGAGTCGGGAAACTTTTGCAATCTTAAGTTGAATGCACAATGCTTCCAATAGCGAGTGCATTCCTTCCCCATGATTGGCTGTTGACCTCTCGCCTCATTTGGAAAAAAGTTTGCTGTTGCAAAGTACATGCCGGGCTGATTTGTATGGACATCCATGAAACGCCCACTCTCCGGATGCACGAACCGAGCCACAAATTTGGGTGTATTGGGCTCAAACGATGTATTAAGGACATAATTAACATCATAACCAGGCGTTGGGTATTCCTCCATTTGACGCAGACGATCGCCCAAGACCATAGCCATGCGCAAATCTGCCAGAGTATCATCCACATTTTTGTACCGACCCGTCGGAATTCCCTCCGAGTCCATTGCGATAGTGGCATTAGCCTTTACATTAACGCGATGTTCCCACAAGCCATTTTTGCCAGATTTATGACCGGCTATGTTGAAAAAAAGGTTGCTTGCAATGTTCACCGGCGTAATATGATCCGTGGTGGCCTCGATGCGTATAAAGAATCGATTATCGTTATCCACCGTATAATGAACCATTATTTTCAGGTTGCCAGCGTAGCCTTCGTGACCATCTTTCGATATATGTCGCAATGTGACGCCATCCGGTCGAATCATGTCTAAATCCCAAATGACTTTATCCAGTCCAATAAAACCGCCGTCCATCTGATGTTTATTTTTATAATTGCGTGTCAAAATCACCTTGCGCTCTTCCATAACAAACTCGCCATTGCTCACAATCCCGGCCACGCGCCCCAATACACACCCAATGTGTTTATCTTGTTGCATCAAGTAACCGGCCACATCGTCAAAGCCAAGGATAATATCATTCACATTGTGCTCAGCATCCGGTGCCTTTATGCTCTGTACTGTGGCACCCAATTGGATAATGGCTACGGTCAAGCGATTCGCGTTACTGATCGTATAGCGGCGGACGACTTGAGCCATCCCTGTGAAGGGATTGACGGCCATGCCAAAAATGTCCTCTTTTACTTTAATCATGAGGTGTTGCTGTTGCCTGAATGATGAAATGTTGAAAATTTTTTTAAAATTTTGGGCTGCCTTGAAAACTGATTTTGATTTGTATGCCTGAACACGAAAGACTTTTTATTACGCTCGCTTTTAAAACTAACTAGTTTGATTTTATTGCCTATTAACTTAAAGAAGCGTTTAAAAAAATAACTCAAATCTTTTGTACCACATTACAACCATTAGTAGTTCGTTTAATTTGTGTGTGTATTTAAAAAAGAAACAAATGTATTATTGTTCCTGCTATGAATTTCAAATGCTTGCGTTTCCGCCACCTAGGTGGCATCAGCTGTTTGTGCCAAGACAGTTGGGCAGCACTAGGAAATACTAGTTTTAGTACCAAATATCGTCTATCGATATGCTTTCGATGATATGTTAATGACGATAGCTATTCAACCCAAACTTTGCAATTTTGTTGTTACCTGCCGCAAGTTGCGACAGTCACTGGGTAACGCATTTGTTTAAATAATTCCGTGTGCGCACAAAAATAATATTGTTTAATCATTTTTTTTGTAAACCACTCTTCACAATTAATTGCTCTAAGTGCTGCATGTGTTAGTGTGTGTGTGCTCAAAAGTTGAAACACCGTATTTACAACCAAAGACGCAAAAAGAACGGCAAGCAACAACAAATGCTTATACTGTTGCTGTTGTTATTGTCTCGCTAGAGAGCGCGGTATAACTTGCAATTAAATGTGAACAAGAACTGCATTTCCGACACGCATAAATTAAAATATAATTGAAATATAGTGTAATTGGTAAGCGAGTCATCGTTTTGAGTAAAGGAGTTGGGGGCTAAAAAATAGGTCAGCAGGAAAACTGACGCCAATTTGAAAGGCCAAAACGCACAAAAAATACATACATACATACGTATCAAGAAGGAAAAACGCAAGCAAAATGCAAAGCTACGCGGATGCACTGAGTGCCAAAGGATATCGCAACTTTGCCTTTGACACAGATGTTGAAATGGACATGGGTGTTGGCATGGTGCGCCGGATTGAAAAGCGAAAAGGCGGTGAGTGTAAGTGCGTAGGTGTTGTCGAACATCATCATCATCATTATCATTAACTTTATAATACACACAAATGTTAGTCATTGAGTTTTCCACAGCATACGTACTTGCATTTGATTTACGTATGTACATGCATATGTACATACATATACATATGTATCGATAGATACGTACATACATGCTATGTATATACATACATATATATGTATGTAAATATTATGACGGCTGTGTTGGTCATTGACGCATCGGCAAATATGTTTTCTCGCAAATTTCACAACCCGGTCGAGTCCGTTGCCATTACCAGGTCGTCGTCCATTTTCTGCGTGTGTGACGTGCAATTATTTGCTCAACAAAAGTAACAATAGCAACAACAACAAAGCATCTACAATACGAACAAGTTCAAGAAGAAAAAAGAAAAGGCAACAACAAAAAGTTCCCCATTAAGAAAATTGGATGTCATTGTACACGCACACAAACACACACACATGATGTTATATATATATGTACATATGTATGTATGTATGTACATACAAACATACATACATATGTATTGACGCCTGACCATAGCAGGTAACGACATGACTAACTCTATTCTCGTTATTTCCCATTTAGTCACACCCCTTAACTTTTGCCTCCTGTGTGTGTTTTCTTGTTTTGCAAACTTAGCCGGGACACAAACCAGCAATGCAGCTGCATTAACAAGAACAATCTTGTTTGCTTAAACCCAACAACGTGGCAATTTGTTGTATTTGCTTGCCGTGCTTGCTTTTTTTTTTTTTTTTGTTTCTACTATCAAGCTCGTCGTCGACTTCTTCTGTTGCCCTCTCTGCATGCGTGTGTGTGTGTGTGGATGTGTATGAGTGTTTATGCGTCTCTTATCAGGGCCTTAAATTATTCTGACGTGTTGCTTATCGTTGAGCATGTTCTTCGCTGCTCTTCGCTGGTCCTATAAATAAGCTCCATGAATAATATTGACATTCATATGTTCGCATTCAAATACTTCCATACATACATATGTGTACCTACATACATATATGTATATACATGTATGTATGTATATAGTATGTGTATTTATGTACGTACGAGTATTCGCCATATGCATGCCATCAAGTCCAATTGTGAATTGTCAAGCTAAGCAAAAAGTTTCCCATTGCTCGCGTTAATTGGCAAAACCCAATTGGGATCGCATGTTTTTTACTTGAAGCTAAGCCAAGCAATTGTAATTCAAAAAATGTACATCCATCGATATCCACCTATTGCAATATTATTTACACGTATAAATACATATGTGTATTTGCCAATTTCAACAAATATATGTATGTATATATAAATAAAAAGTCATTCTCGACTGAAAGTTACCCTCTTCTAGTATTTTAATTATCATTATTTATTCAAAATTTTTGCAATTGTTTCGTCGCATTAGAATTCATTTCTGATTGATCGTTTATAACAACAATATGGTGTAACCATACTTGTATATAATACTTGACATTCTAGGCAAATGATTTAGTAACAGAACAACATCTCCGTTCTTGTTTATTAGGCATATCTCTTAATAACTTAATTTTCGAAACTCTCGCTCCCAGTATAGCCTATTAAGCCTTATTATTAAATAAAGAAAAACTAATGCTTTGTAGTATTTTATGTTGTGCCAGTTGGTAATACATTCAAAAGGTTGCTAAAACCAATTCAAAGTGATTCAAAAAATATTTCTTCAAGTTCGTTTTCAAATAGACCTACAGATTGTTTCTAAAAACTATTATTCACACCGTTCTTACCACTGGACAAATAATTTTTATTATATAAATTATTTATTATATAAAATATAACTTATTACCCCAAACATCCAACTATAAAGTTGGACTATGACTCATTCTGAAAAAACGAGTTGTTTTCAGGTAGAAACCGTTATCGTGTGATGTTAATCAAGAGTACGTACATTATTTCCGTACAACATGAACCGAATACAAACTGCGTATCAAGGCCCTCTGTAATTCGAGGAATTGTGGGGGTTGGCGAGCTCATGGGGTGGAAGCTCTTTTTTGGTTGTTGGGAACTGGCTGTTCGCCTGGCATTTAACCAGGAGAAGGAAAGGCTTTCGAGTTTTTGAACTGGAAGAACTTATTGCATACATTTAGGAGCAAATAATAATACAAATTTAGGTGTATGTTTTGGGTCAGTTTTCGGTTAATAAATAAACAAGCAGCACGTCGGCTTCTATACCTTTAAACTACAAGCATTTGATGCTGTTTTCACATTCAATCAACGGATATTTTTGTTATCACTATCTTTAACATTGAACAGAGAGTATATCTACAAGAACATACTCGTACCTAGATATACACACATGCATATGTTTTTAGTGCCAGACCCCAATTTGCGAAATTGAAAGGCTTTTCAAACATGATTGATATGACAAGTACGAAAAAAATGCATTTGTACAGTGTACACTTGAAAATGAGAATTGGGTTAATTGATTCTAAGAGACCGCAGAGCACCGTGTTGGCAAATTGCTTAAAGTTATTTACACAGTGTCTAAAATAGTTGCTTACAGTTGGGGATAAGCTAAAGGGCATAAAAAGAGACGCGTGGAGAAGAATCAAGGCATTGAGTTGCCAGTGCTTGGTGACAAACATTTTGGCTTAATTAGCTGGACAACGTATGTATTTACATACATACATACATACATATATATGTATATATCAGCAATTTATTTGAAATGGTTTCGATAGCGTGCATTGAAAGTGTTCAGCATAGTTGTGGTCTGACGCATTGCGAGGCCTTGAGAAGTACCTGTGCACCTGTTACTTCTGATACCATATGGGAATTTGTTTACGCGCCACGCTTTTGAATTTGGCAAGGTGTAGGTCATGGTCCCAGATAGAGAATGCATTCGTGACGGAAATGGGTAGCTGTGAAGGAGTGGGTTTCTTTTCTCTTTGTTTGCCAAACGCCCACCACAAATTGTGAGGAAAATTTTGGTCTTTTTAATGAATTTAGTGCCTATCGCTCTCGTTCTCTCTCTCTCTCTCTTTGTTTGTCTCTCGGTCTAGATACATACTATGCTTTGACTAAAGTTAGTCACGCTAGACAAAATTGCTTATTCATGAATGCTGCTGTTGTTGTTGTTGTTGTTGTATTGTTGGGCGCCAGCCGGTGCTATCACGACACCATTCATCTAGCTATGTATCTGCCATGTCATCGTCGAGCTGTCGGAAAATTTCTTAAAAGAAAGAAAATCAGTTTACGGCGCGTATTCGTCTAGCAATAAAGTCCCAAGTCGGTTAAACCGGCAACAGCATTTTCTTTTATATAACATATCCTATATACTCACATACTATATGTATAGAGTATGTACATTGTGTGTCATCAAGAAATCTGTTGGGCGCATTTGACATTTGCACATATTGAGAAATGAATCGAAATGAATCGGGCATGTTGCCCAAAAAGCTGCAATTAATATTGTTTTATCGAGATTCTAGAGCCCAAAGAGCAATAACAACAATATTAAGTGGAACGTGGACATACATAAGTGTCGGCCCAAAAATAAACAGCAAATAAATTAACAGCGCCAGCAACAACATCAACAACAACAACTGCAACAAATAGGCCATAAATAAAAGTGGCCAAGAAAACAAAAAACAAAACGTAAAAAGTCAAATGAGGCCATTGAATGAACCTGTGCTTGGTCCATCAATCCAACTGTCTCTCTGTCTCTCCCAGCTGTTCTCCCAATTATAGATATAGAGCCATCAACATCCCATACAAGCTTATTATCGCCCAGGTGTTAATTTTTTCTGACTTGCCCAAATCGATCGACGCCAATTGAAAGAGCAAAATAAACGCTAGTTCTTCATGATCGATTAGCTACAATTCGCCATTCAATATACAAGTATAAGTTGGTTTTTGGGCAAGAAGCCCCACCCATGCGACCACCATGGTGAATCAGACATTCTAAACCTTTTCATGGGCCTGCAAGCATATCAAAAGTTTTAATTGAAGTGGAATGGGCTTTATAGCTCAATAAAAGGGCAGAAAGGCATACAAAAGTCGATTAAACTGAAAGGCCTGACGAAACAAGTGTAATTACTTGGATGTTCCTTATTGACATTTTTTTTTATTTTCGATAAACCTTATCATCCATTAAATAACAAGGGGACTAGAATTTGACATTCATTCAAAAACCTATGATTAGCCAGAAAAAGCCCAAAGTTTTGAGAAAGTTATATAAAGTTTCTCCAGTTCTTCAGTTTGAGGAAATGCAGGCAAGAATCTTAAAATTGCGTTTCTCCATTCCAGCAATAAACTGATTTTAAAAGCAGGAAAGAATATACAGCATACAGTCATTTAATATCTTGGAGTAGCATTTATCTAATTTTTCATTATCTGCGGATCTTGTTATCTTAGGAAGCCAGTTTTTAAAATATGGCCTCTTCATTGCGTAGAACGCAATTATAATTTATTTGCCAAGAGCCCAAGGCAAGGGCAAGCAACTAAACGAGATATAGGGCATGCAATAAGTGATCGATGCCATTACTTCGACTTGTGGCCGACTCTGCTGCAATATTTTTAAAATTAGGAAGCTTTTTCTCACTCTCCCGAAAAAGCTTTACGCGCTCTACTTTTTACCCCGTGTATAAACTTTGGATGAATCGAAACAAGTGGGCGATGATGAGCAACAAGTCCCACCACAGCCGCCCAGTGAAATGAAATTAGCGCGTAGATGTGAAAATTGCGTTGCGACGAACATTTTTTCTTTCTTTTTTTTTTTTTGTATCTATGATCTGACGACGAGTACATTCAGTGGATGCCAGAAGCCATCTAGTGTGAACAGAGTGCGGACACTGAGTGCTCTGTGTTTGGAAACAGTCTGGGGAAACAAAAAAAAAAAAAACTACTAGCTTTTTTTTTCTTATTTGTCAAAGCCTGAGAAAAACGCACGAACACAAACAATCTTTAGCATTACATAAACAAATTTCCAATCGTAGAATTCTAAATGGTTTCCAAATTTCTGTAAATTACACCAAACGCAAGCAAATGTGTTGAACAAAGGATAAAAAGGCAAACAGCTGAACAGCCGAAGAGTCATCAAGAGGCGTCCAGTGCCGGGAGCAGCGAAAGATTTGACGATCCAACGATCCACAGATCCGTGCATTGTCTGGGCATATTCCATTGCGTTGGCCAGAGAGATTTGGAGCACCAGACTAATCATTAAAACATCACGGCGGGGCTGCGCAAGTAGTTGGACGCACGGACGGCGATTGGAATTCATCTGAATCACATTGGTGCATTGTTGGTGTTGTCTGGCCTGTAATCTGCTGCTGGGACGCGCCTCACGCGACTCCCACGCAACGCTCCTCAAGATGACCTACCGGGGCATGCTGAACACCACCGATGCGGCAGACATACGCGGCCTAGAACAGGACTCTGATTCATTCGATTCGATATTGGTCCATCAGCACGATATGCAGCGTGCCATGGCCACCATTCAAATTCAAAAGCACGGTCACGCCCATCGGCCGAAAGTGGTTCCCTCCAAGCAAACCGATCTAGGTGCGGTGCTGGCCAAACCAGTCAACATCCATCGTTTTCATTCCCTAGCCAAGTGCGATTGTAAGTCTAGCCCGCCCACACTCAACAAATACACTCCACACGAAGCCCCCACCCCTCACACCTCTCCAAATAATAGGTTTCATGGTAAATCGTAAACTCTGTGATAAGCGTGAGCTTGACACTCATATATCTAATTCACGCTGTACGACAAACTCGAAGAGAGAGTAGTTAGCTGTTGGGTTAGTTAAGCAATGGACACGATTGCAAATAATGTTCACATAAATACGGTGAAAACTCTCTGGGTCCCCAAGGGGAGTGCCCGCTTAAGGGGATACTTAAATACTTTATACACCGATCGAGTGTTTTAGAACAAGTATCCGCCGGAGAGAGTGTCCGGATAATAGAGGTGTCCGTTAAAAAAGTTTTCACTGCATCTGTTATCAAAAGAGTAGACATTGAAAGAAAACTATTTTTTTTTTACTTTGAGGACATACTTGTAAAATGCGGCAAGTTTGTGTGCAAATTGTTCGCCTGTCTGACCGTAGCTTTAGTTAGGATGGCTTTTTAAACAAAGTCAACAGCATTTTATTCTAAATATGATACAAAAGCAAGTTATATGGCTGGTAATATAATCGGATACGCATATTCTGTAAATAGTATAACGAAATGATTTCACATTCCACAACAGAACCTTAAACTTCAAATGTTTAAATTATTAAACAAGTGTTGAAGAGAGTACTCGAAAGCTCCATTTCTGTTCTATAAATCGAATCGTATTGTAGGAACAAAATTCGCCATTCCCCACTAAGCGAACGCGTACAGGGCTAGCCATGAGAAGAGAAGATGTTCAGTAATTGAAATACATCTTAGCAGCCAGCTAGTACCTATAGAGAAGAGCCGGATCTCACCAGATGACCCGTTAACTTTCCCAAACCACAACAATCGGTACGGACAGGCGGAAATGTTTCTATCTGAACCAAAAACGAAGCCTATCTTCCTTTTCTGAAATGCAACTCTGATTAAAGCATTGCTCGCCTTAATCTCGTTAGCTAAGTACACACGACCCACACTTTTGTTTGGCTTGTTGTCCAGTGTAGTTAGCTAAGTACATATCTTTCTTTTCTGAAATGCAACTCTGATTTAAGCATTTCTCGCCTTAATCTCGTTAGCTAAGTACATATCTTTCTTTTCTGAAATGCAACTCCGATTTAAACATTTCTCGCTTTTATCTCGTTAGCTAAGTACATATCTTTCTTTTCTGAAATGCAACTCTGATTTAAGCATTTCTCGCCTTAATCTCGTTAGCTAAGTACATATCTTTCTTTTCTGAAATGCAACTCTGATTTAAGCATTTCTCGCCTTAATCTCGTTAGCTAAGTACATATCTTTCTTTTCTGAAATGCAACTCTGATTTAAGCATTTCTCGCCTTAATCTCGTTAGCTAAGTACACACGACCCACACTTTTGTTTGGCTTGTTGTCCAGTGTATGGAACCATCAGCGCGGATCACTTGTCTGTCTGCCTCTATCACGCCCACCTTCTGAAGCGTCCAATAATCCGTTGCTCGAGTTGATATCAACTCATCTCTGACTATCTATCGACGCCGCTGGACTGTGCCAGCCAGCTAGTACGGGTGTGTGTGTGTGTGTGTGTGTGTGTGTGTTTGTGCGTGTATGTGTGTGGGTTGTTTTGGACCCGCATCCGACGGCTATTGATTTTTGTTGCTATCGCTGTTGCCGCTGCTTCTGCTGCTGACGCTAACACTGTCACTGTCGCTGTCGCTGTCTCTGCTACTGCCTTCGCACTTTTTCTGCCTCTTCAGGTTGTCGACACGCTGATATTTTTACTCTCCGTAATCGTGCATCACAATTTGTTGTTGTTGACGTTTTCGAAAAACGTTTACGTAGCAGAGCCGTTAGCTCAATCCAGTCCAGTCGCATTGAAGCGACAACGCTCGTTCGTATTACAAGCTCAGATTTTGTCCGATCATGAATTTCAATCGCATGGATAGCGCCCATCGCCTGCTGGTCGATGTAAGGCTCTTTGGCGACAATGTGATGGCTGCAAAGCCTGCTGAGACAGAGACAGCGACAGCGACAGCCTCATCATCTCCGGACCCCCAGCTTTGTAGGTTGCAGTGGTCGTCGGTTTAATCCAATCGCTAATAATAGCTTCTAATCACAACGATCTATTCGATGTGCAATCACCTCCACCCTAATAATAAACACAATCTTGTTATTTGGTCTATTAGCATAGTGTTTAATAAAGTGAACTATTTTTTGCATTGCAGGCGATCTCACTGATTCACCGGATGAGCCCAAAGTCGATGGCGATGTTGAGCTAAGTAACGAAATTTCTGCACCGTATGAAGTACCACAGTTTCCCATTGAACAAATCGAAAAGAAGTTACAAATACAACGACAGCTGAACGAGAAGTAAGTAAAACTATTGACTATAACTCCCATTTTGTGAAACTCCCCTCTTAAAGGCCGGTAGTTTCCGTTACACATATATAATATCTAGAGGTCATTAAACCTTTGAGTTCTTTAGAGAAAGCAGTTTCTTGAACATGCAAATATCTAGAAGATAATGAAGGTCTACTTCAGATTCTAAAAAAGATATCATCATAGAGACCCACCCTATTTCTCGTACCGTCTTAAGTACCAGTAGCAAGTTTTAAAGCCAATTGGTCGATAATAAGACTTGGCGCAGACCGAATATTTTTCCATAAGACCTTGAAGTAGTATCAATGTCGTTCATTGAATAGACGCGCAGCACTAACAAAGGCATTAGCCAATTCTATAGCGACGTAACGAAGTTGGCAGGAAGAACATGAACAGAGAAGAGGCATCGGCTCGACATCAGCAACACCATTCTCGATGACAGGCACATGAAGAGCATAGCAGCAGGCAACTCAATGGGTACGCGTTTCTACTATCAAGTCCGCATTGTTTTCGGGCCACAGGTAATCCGAACAACTAGACAGGCAGACTGTAGAGAGGGAGATGGAGGTGGCGGTGGCGGTGGCGGTGGGGTCGGCATTTCGTGTGCGCCCGCCCTCCCAGCTACCAAAGTGTAAATGAACGGTGGACATCTGACGGACGGACGGACGGACGGACGACCGACTCGACTCGACTATACAGTCTACAAAATACGGAATACGTGGAATAGTGTGGCGACGCATGTATCCGTCCGTCGCACACGTTTTGATTTTTGAATGGGACTGCATTAGGCGGCGCAGACGTAGTCGCCAATGGGGCTTATGCCATAACGAACCCAAGCAATGTCCAAAACCCACCACCACCATCGCCACCGCGACTATATAATAGCAATAGCAACAACAACAGCAACAACAGCCTTCGCCTTTAGCTTTGGCTCTGGCTCTGGCTGGCTCTCTGCTACCAATTTTAGTTTTGGATGCCGTCACTTCAGTACAATTTGTGCATCCATATGACTTGGAACTGAAATACGCGGTGTAGTGTCTTTTTGCCAACGGAAACCTAAAGCCGGGCAACAAAAAACGCACGCTTCGGAGGCTAACAGTGCGTCCAACGCCACCTTGGGTTCTTGAAGACGACCTACGCTGACATTGGGCGGCAAATCGCAATGAGGCATTGTTCTTGTTGTTCGTGCACGAACAGGACAAGAATTTAACGCCCGTCCCAGTTTTAAGATCCGGTCTAATAGCGTTGTGCCATTTTTATGAGCTTCGAGCTACCCATTTCGATATCAATTAAGTTCTAGTTCTCCTAGTTCCCCTCCAAATACTCTGAACATTCTAGTCTATACCCTGTACACAAGGAGTTAAAAGGTATTCTAGAAGGTCTAAAAGGTATTAAATAGACAAGGATCCGTCTGTGTGTACAACTCTTTAACGTAGACTTTTCCTATTTATACGCAGAACAATTTAATTACAAATCGTGTATAGCCTTATTCTTTTATAAGGCCGATCGATGAAAACATCACACTTAATAGAAAAACCTTTTTGTAATATTGTACGATATATATTCATATTTTGAGCAAGTTCCGCATTTTTAATGAAACAATCGAAGTGTTTGTATATTTGCATAGATATAGGAAGATATAATATATAGCTAAACAAAGTTTTATGAAGGACACATGCAGTGAGAAGGACGACGGGCGCAGGGTATACAAGATTCGATCAGTCGTCGCTTCAGCTTTCAACTCGTTCAACTCGTCAATCCTTGATATAATCGTAAAAGTCTCTAAATTAATGAACGAATTGGGCAGCTGAAATGAATTAATAATTGTTGTTTTTGGGAACTAGTTCCCATCGCCCTCAAAGACACAGCTCTAACGTCTGGCCCCTACTTCAGTGTTAACTGTAGTTGGCACTGGCATTGGCACCTCAACTTCGTTTTAAAACCGAGCAACTCTTCAATTTGCACGCAATTTGCCTAAACATTGTGGGGAGAGGGGGGCTTGACGTGAACGTCTCTTGACATCGCGTGCCACGTGCCACGTGCCCCAGCCGTCAAATTGTGCGCCAGGGGAGCACTCAGGCGAGCACTCAATAAATCAATCGGCCAATCGATCAGTACAACATCAATGGATATAGCCCCAGTTAACCCCATAGCCTGCTGCTAGCCAACTACTGTTGTCGGTCAGCTGTCGGTCAGCAGTCGTTTGTAGCTTCTAAAGGACAGCATGTCGTTCGCGGATGACAGCTATAGCTTTTGCCGTCATTATCCCTACTATCTGCCAGAGGAAGAACAATGGTGCTGCCTGTCCTTCAGAGAGTTAAGTGCTTTACTATTTACTGCCCTCTTCGCTTCCCATTTCAGGCAATCAGGCACCTCACGTGGCATCGTTGTTGGCCATTTAGTCCAGCACTCACCATCTAGCTCCGAGGATCAACTGTCGGTTGGCGGGGAGCCAACTAGGAACGATGCCGACATTAATTTTCAGCGTGTGTCCATCTCGGGCGAAGATACCAGTGGTGTGCCGCTGGAGGATTTGGAACGTGCTTCCACATTGCTTATCGAAGCACTGCGTCTACGCTCCCACTACATGGCCATGTCGGATCAATCGTTTCCGGCGACTACGGCTCGTTTTCTGAAGACAGTGCGTCTCAAGGATCGTCTGGACACCTCAACTGGCAAATCGGTTTCGGGTAAGTAGGTCCAACTAGATCTGACGCTGGATCTGGAATGTGTGTAGCTAGAGTTGTTCGGTCTAGTTCAATTGAGTAAACCAAAACGTGTATATCATATCTTGTTAGCGCTTAGAATTTTGGTTCATTAATCTGTAAATGATCATAAACAAGACTCTAAAGGATTACAATAAGTTTCCTGTTATCCTGCTTACGATCAGTGATGATCATGAAGAGCCAAATGAAGCAATTATCGTCGAATGAATAATTGTACTACGCATAGTATCTTAGTTAGACTTAAGAAATGGATCATTTAACCAGTTCGAAACAAACTGTCGCAGGATTCTCGAAAAGAGGGAACGCTATATACTTGTACTTACAAGTATATGCGATGGCACCAGCATGTTAGTAGCGATATTCCAGTGTTGTATTGCACCCAAACTTTACGCGTTTTCTGGTTGGCAGCAAAAGAGACCTGTATTATACATTGTTTGTTTTATATTAACTCTACTTTGCATAGAACGCTAGATATCTATTTTTATTTAACGTTACTCTCTATCTTTCTCTCTCTCTCTCTCTCTCTTATCTCGCATAAGTGCTCTTTAGCTCCCTCTCTCACCCTCTCGATATCTCTCTCGGTTGTTCTCTCAGTGGTTCACTTCTATTTGTTGGTTCAGCGCATGTCGCTCGATCCGTGCATCTACTGCCGCCTCCTTTTAGTTCTTTTTCTCCCTTTCCCTCTCTTTCTCGCGCTCTCTGTTAAGTTAGCAATTTCTCTATAATTTCAAAGAGAGAGTAATTTGTAATCTTGCTATTATACTCTATTCGCTCCAACAGCTATGTATGTATGTACCTCTCTAAATGTGAAATTTGTTTTTCGCTCTACTTTTTCGTTGCGTTTTTTTGTAAAATTATTTATTTTTCATGTTTTTTATTTTTTAGACATAATTCGCAATATGAGTGTGACGAGCCTACAAGGTAATTCGTGCGTGGCTGCGAATCCAACCCCGTTTTACTTTCAATTGCGCTTTACAAACAATTTTTCAACTACTTTTGCATAATTTTTGTTCGATTGCGTCGCTTTGTTTGATTTTGTTTCTAACTGCATATACTTTTGTTTGTTACTGTTTTGATTTGTATGGCTGTCGTAGCTGTTAGCTTTTGACACTGCTCTCGCTCTCGCTCTTGCAACGCCCTAACAGCTGTAAAACGCCAGCGCCACTCCACGTAATTATTTTTATTAATTCGCCAACTGTTTTTAAATTTTAATTCGTTATTATTTGTGTTTATTTATTTGTTTGTTTGTTAACTGACTACGTGCTTTCTGTAGTTTTAACCGAACACGTGCTTCTTGCACTCGCTACGCACAGACAGACTCTATATACTCTGCCACCTCGCTCTTCTCTTCAATTCAAGCCACTCTCTTAAATACTCACTCACCCACACACTCAGGAAGAGTTGTCAATTGTTGGGGCAGCTCTGTGCTCAGACAATTGCTCGGCTCAATCAATATCAAACAATCTCAATCTTTCGCTGACATATTCGCTAATGCTACCAACGAGACACACGCAATACAAACAAAGCCTTGCACAAAAGGACACGTGCAAAAACATGTAGTTGATCTGTTTCCAGGCTTACCATAAATATACATGTTTCTTAAACAAAGAGCAGGGCTGTCAACTCACCCCATAAGTAATGTGTTAAAAACGCCAATAAACATAAAACTTCCAGACTAAAATTGAGAGTGAAGAACTAGGAGTCAAGTTTTAAAAAGATGTTCCCAATAATTCCTGTAGCAAAATCCATAAACACATCAATAATTTAGGCGACCAAGATAATGTGTTTCGATCTGGATACTACCTATTGTATCTCAGAAGTAAATACTACTTTCAAATATTTAAATATTTTGAATAATTCCCCAAAAAATGTGAAAAGAAAAGAAGTCACAATTATCATTGACGCAAGTATTCAAATATTTCGTTTAGAGAGGAAAGAGCATACGCAATTTATAATAAGCCTTGAGTCCCGTTCTTGCTTTCAATCCATTAAAAAATGTTGAAATTTGAACCATTCAATCTATTTCAATCATTGGGTTCAATCATATTGGGTTCTCAAAACTATGTAATTAATATGTTCAAGCTTTTGGGGCCTTGACAACCCTGTGCGACACAAGTTTGTGTGTAGCGAATATATACAATATATGTATGTATGTATGTAGAAAAGATTATATTATATTTTGTATGTAAATTACAATTTTTAAAATAATTTAACAAATTCAAAGCAACTAAATTAAAAATTCTACTCCTATATATTTAATTATACTACGTATATCTTGCATAAAACACACAACATAAAACCAACATCAACCACGAATCTGAACACCCTAACACACAACCCCCACCGCTTCTGATTTTGAACACAACACTTCGAAAAGCGCAGCAGACATGCAAGCAAGACAATCACTGGCAATGGTCGTCGATCCATGGGATGTGGAGTTTCCGCCGGATGAGAATTATATTATTAAGCCCAAGAATGGTGTGTTCCACATCTACAAGGATGAGGTAAGTTGTCATACTGCTTACAATTATCAGGCCCTTGCCAATGTCTCCACACACCTCTTATGTCTAGACACTTAAGGATGAACTGTCCTTCCAGTATCCAGATCTGAGTCAATTCGTCAACGATATGCATGTCATGTGCAACATGATCGCCGATGGCCCACTGTAAGTAGACCCACCCCTCTCAAAAATAATAGAGTAATGAGAATAATAAGTAATAAGAACATGACATTTTATTTCTACAGAAAATCGTTTTGCTATCGCCGTCTCTGCTATTTGTCATCCAAGTACCAGATGCATGTGCTGCTCAATGAGTTGCGAGAGCTGGCTGCTCAGAAGGCGGTGCCACATCGTGATTTCTACAATACTAGGTCAGTTTTTCCCCTAAACTATACTACACAATAGTTGGGATAATTATATAACTTAGATGGACGAAAAGAGTGATTGAACTTTTTAGACATTTTTGAAATAAAATTGAACCTTCTACTTTATAGGAAAGTGGACACCCACATACACGCCGCCTCGTGCATGAACCAGAAGCACCTGTTGCGTTTTATCAAGAAGGCGCTGAAGAATAATGCCAACGAGGTGGTTACCCTCACGAACGGGCAACCCATGACCCTGGCACAGGTTTTTCAATCCATGAATCTGACCACATACGATCTGACTGTGGATATGCTGGACGTGCATGCCGATCGCAATACGTTCCATCGTTTCGACAAGTTCAATTCCAAATATAATCCCATTGGAGAGTCGCGACTCCGCGAGGTCTTTTTAAAGACCGATAACTATTTGAATGGCAAATACTTTGCACAAATTATTAAGGTTCGTGATTAATGATCCAATTAACAATATTATCTGTATTTATTATATATTTTGATGATGTGATATATTTATGTGCTAATTGTTTTAATGCAGGAAGTGGCATTCGATCTCGAGGAATCCAAGTATCAAAATGCTGAGCTTCGTCTCTCCATCTATGGCAAGTCGCCCGATGAGTGGAACAAACTGGCCAAGTGGGCAATTGACAACGATGTGTATTCTTCCAACATACGCTGGCTAATACAGATACCACGTCTCTACGACATCTTCAAGTCAAACAAAATGATGGAATCATTCCAGGAAATAATCAATAACATTTTCTTGCCACTATTCCAAGCGACAAATAAGCCCAGCGAACATCCCAACTTGCATCGCTTTTTGCAGTATGTGATCGGTTTCGATTCTGTGGATGATGAGTCCAAGCCGGAGAATCCTCTGTTCGATAACGATGTACCACGACCCGAAGACTGGACCTACGAGGAGAATCCCCCATATGCATATTATATCTACTATATGTATGCCAACATGACGGTGCTAAATAAGTTCAGGCAGTAAGTAGCAAAAAATAAAAATAAATAAATGGAAGAATACAATTCTTGTTCGACAGAAATCGTGGCATGAACACCTTTGTACTGCGGCCCCATTGCGGCGAGGCTGGTCCCGTTCAGCATCTGGTGTGTGGCTATCTAATGGCCGAAAACATCTCTCACGGTCTGTTGCTGCGCAAAGTGCCAGTACTGCAGTATCTGTATTATTTGACACAGATTGGAATTGCGATGTCGCCGCTCTCGAACAACTCTCTATTCTTGAACTATCATCGTAATCCATTGCCAGAGTATCTGGCACGTGGTCTCATCATTTCCCTCTCCACAGATGATCCTCTGCAGTTTCATTTCACCAAAGTGAGTGGCAGTGCTAATTAATAATTAATTAAATCTAATTACTGACAAAACGGAATCTTACAGGAACCGCTTATGGAGGAATACAGCATTGCGGCTCAGGTGTGGAAGCTCAGCTCATGCGACATGTGCGAGCTGGCCAGAAATAGTGTCCTCATGAGTGGCTTCCCACATTTCGTAAGTTTTGGCCGGCACACTAAAACATCGCGCATATACGATTAATGGTAATATTGATTTCCGACAGATAAAACAGCAATGGCTGGGACCCAATTACTTCGTCGACGGTATCAATGGCAACGATATAACACGGACAAATGTGCCAGAAATTCGCGTTGCCTATCGCTACGAAACCTTGCTGGACGAGCTATCCAACATCTTTAAGGTAAACCAAAAGTGCGGGTCAACTACTAGCATCCATGATAAAAAGTAGAACTCTATGTTGTCCCTTCGACAACATACAAACATACACACTAACATGTTTACATTACATATTTACTACTAATGTATAATTGTTTCTATACTAACCTAAGCTTAAGAAATAATGCGAGGCAAGAATGTAAAAGTGGGAAGACCAAACAAACTTCTATACAGGGCGCAGTGGCCGGCGGCAGCAACATGCAGCATGTAGAGAAGTTAATCTGGGACTTTAAGGAGCATATCATGTATCCATCTAACCATAAAATCTTTCGTCTATGCTGTATTGTCAATGTTGCTGCTGGTTTCTAAAAGAATAAGATACAACAAATTATACCTATTATTATACTATACAACAATTGTATATCCATATACCAATTTCAAGTGGAAAATAAAGCAAATTATACATCTATTGTGTCTGTACATTACATTACTGAATATATTAAAAGTATAATAAGATCACAACGCATGTTGATCAAGGGGAAGGCTATCGATGTCATATTTTTGAGCATTATTTATTGTCAGACTCACAATGGATTTTTATATATTGATTGGGGGATTTCGTTCAGGGGATCTTAAGCAAGTACTGTGCTGGTAGCTCAATAGGTCTATAGGTATGCTATTAAATATCTTAGTAATTAAACTGTGCTGAAATATTTAGCATCTTAACGTTAAAATGCACCCCCACAATGCAAATTTAAATGGTCAGCACAGATATGACGCAGATGATTATGAAGTTCATTCACTGAATTTTTTAAGTGTTCTGCTAAAAGCCTACTTTCCCTATTATACATTTGACATAAAACTAATAATTAAGAAAATATCGTTCAATTTTATGCGTAAATAAATTAGAGACAAGTCTGAATGTGTAATTTAAATGCTAGCGCCACCTGGCGGCTGTCCAGAAAACTCAACTGTTGCGCACCAGCTTAGTCGCAGGTTCTAGAGAGTTGCCAGCATGTTGAAGTCTGACTTGAACGCGCAAGGGTGTGTGTGCGTGTGTGTTATTGTGGTGTTCCCTAGCTCGCTGAAGTTGGAGTCTTTGTTTCTTATGAAATTAATAAGTAAAATATTTTCGAGTGCCCATAAAATTGATCAGATTGCAGTACATAAAAGAATAATGGAGTGCGCTAGATGTGTGTGTAAATAATTAAGACGAGTTAAGCGGTAGAATAACATTTGAAAAAATAGCTTTGGGCGGCGACTCTTCCCTGTCGCCTTGTTGTTGTAGTTTTAGTTGAGAGTGAGCTCAGCGCTTCGTGCAACAGCAACAGCAACAACAACAAGCAGCAGCAGCAGCGAAAACAAGTCGACTCACCTGTGCAAAAGTGCACATAATGACCACCCAACGACCGCATCGAAATGCCACCAGCGCAGCGGCAACAACAATCGGTAGTGGTGGTAGCAGCGGTGGCGGCGGCAGTGGTGGTGAGTCCGAATACGAGACGTTGATGCAGCGACTGCACATCAGCGGAGCACCAGTTTTGACAGCAACAACAAACACAAATTCCAATGCAATGATGGGCCTCCGTATCTATCAGCGCTCTCCCGGTGCCATTGAGAACTTCATGCACGATGGACAGCAGCAACACCAACAACAACACCATCAGCGCATGCCTTCTAGCGAGGATTATAAGCTGTACGAGCGCCAGAACATTATTGCCGCTTCCAAATATGCCACGCCCAAGCCAGTGGAACAATTAGGAGGCAATCACGGGCACGGTCACACCAATGGTAGCCATCACTCGCCGTTGCCGCCGCCACCATCGTCACCACACATCTATGCGCCCACTGCCCAAATACTAGGCCAACGCATTGCGCCCCAGAAGCATTCGCCCGTCTACGAAAATCTGGACTTCTACGGCGCTAACTCACAATTCGAGTCGAATTACAAGCGCGCCCAGCCCCAGAGTCCGGCTAGTCGGCAAAGCGCCATGCTAAACGACTATCTACTGATGCAGCCCATTGGCGGCGGACGTTTTGCCCACACGCCCGTTCCAGAGGCTACGGTGCACCACAACAACACGTTACACAATCACGGCCACGGACAAAACAACAGCCAGCAACACGACGAGGTGGCGCCCATATACGAAAACATCATACCACATTCGGGTGAGTTCAAACGGATTGGTTGTGTGTGTAGTGCAATGGAAGTCCTGATAAGGCATCATAGATCCCATCTGATATAGATCGATATGTTCGTATAGCAAAGCCAATCTCTTAAAATATCTAATCAAATCGAAAATTGTTTTACGCGTTTAACTCCAGTGTAGTTGCAATAAAGCTCTGCTTTCTCAGTATGATTCTCAATAAATTAAACTTATGGAATTCCAAATCATTCTAACTTTTGAAAAAAATCAATTGAAAATCAAGTTGTAACACTTCTAAAAATTGTATTCATCCCTTTGGAAGACAAAATCTGTCAATAAATCGATCTGATGTTTATTCGTCTTCTATGCTTCTCTCTCTAATCTAATCATGTAATCAATAAACTCAAGAGATTTACAAGTCCTTTCCGAAAAACAATCATCGATTTATGTATTTAAAACTAGCAGACTTTTTTGAAACAAAGTTAGGATGGTTTTACTTATATTTAAAACAAAATACATTGCACTTAAGCAAAATAAATTTGGAGAAACTGAGAATATTTTAATTCATCATTTATCATTTCCAGGCCAACGTGCTCAGCCGCAGGCCTCGCCCGCCACAGCGACTATGTATCAACATACGGAAATGGCCACGCCCACGCCGAATAGTAGCATGGGGAGTGGCAATACGGCAGGCGGATCTCTGGTGCAGCACTCACGCGAACACTCCGGCCTGGACATGAATGCATTATTAGCCTCGCCCATGCACCAGCGCAGTATCTCCAATATGTCTAATGCGGGTGCATCGTCGACGGCGACGGGAACGCTCAGCTCTCCCACGCAACGATATAGGAATCTGTCACTGCCCAGCCACCTTAGCCCGGTGCCGCTGTCGCCGGCGAAGCTTCAGCAGCATACGCCCATCAAGCACATGCCCATGCACGGGGGCATCAACGTGTCCGTGAATCCCAATTATATTGAAGACATCAATAGCTCCGACTATGTCTGCATGACGGCAAATCTGCATCGCAACACGGCTGCCAGAAGCCCCACAAGTAGCAGTGGCAATGGCACCACCCAAAGCGCTGGTCTCGGTGGTTCAATGAACAATCCGGCCAGTCCAAAACGTGCTCCAATTGTGGAGGACAGGCATCCACAGGAGCCGGCTATGGTGGCTTCACAGCCACTCCCTACAGGCACCGCCGGACGTATGCGGCCGTCCAACGAGCGCGAGTTCACGCAGTCACCAGCATTGCAGCTGCGTGCCACGCCCATTTCCACAGCACCACTGGCTGTGGCCACCTCGCCCACACCCTCGCAGGGCAGCACAGGTACAAGCTATCTCAATTTCTTTCCTTCTTCCCTATAATCGCTCTTAACCACTTAACAACTCGTCATCTTTCAATGCTAACCCCAGCGGCTACAGCCGCTTTGGTGCCAAAACGAGGTACGCCGCATTCTTTAGCAACCATCTAGCAATATTCATTTAATTAAACTTATTGATTGAGGCGAATCTCACTAATGAGATCCATATTTCTGAATAATGTGCAGGTCTCACCAAAAATCTGCTGCCCTACAGCGTCACACCGCCGCGTCCGGCTGGTCCGACCGAGGCGCAACGTAAAATCGAGGAACTCACTCGCCAGCTAGAGGAAGAGATTGAGCAGAGTGAGGAGCATGGCGAATATTTCGGTGAGTTTTATATCCATTTAGTACTGTACATAACACATTCCGAACTATATACATATACACATGTATGTATATCTACAAAACATTACCTTAAGATATTTTAAAACTTTATCAAATAATAATGCCTGAAGAATTGTAATGCGTTTGTCGTTTTCTCCCGCAAATCAACATATCGGCTGCTAATACTAATATATGTATGTAGGAGAAACGTATTTTGAATAACAATTGAATCTGAAGTGCGGCTTATTGGTTTTGTTTGTTGGACATTAATATCTTTATTATAACATAATTAAATTTCATCGTTATAAACCGACTAGCAGAGATGTAGTATTGCAACTGTCTAATAGAATTGAGATCAAGGCTTTTATCAAATTAGGGTACTATACGGGTATTTAAACATACAACGCGTGCTCTGGTTTTACACAGAATCTAGATACGATTCGTTTCACATTTATGTTTTGGATTCTAAGGTTCTTTGTTTGAACCATCAACTTTAGGAAATTTCTGGCAAAAATGAACAACTTTCTGACCAGTACCTATTAATTATATGCTTTAATTATTATACGGGTTACGTATTACAATGTTAATCACCACTACAAATAATCAGCTTAGACTTGTTTTTTTTAAGATCTCATTAAAGGGCCTTTAAGCCATTTGTAAAATCAAAATCCTTTACACTAAACCGATCCGTTTGTTCCCCTCTGGGTTTCCGTACAGGCATTTGTCACACCTGCGGTGAGAAGGTGAAGGGTGCTGGCCAGGCCTGTCAGGCCATGGGAAACTTATATCACACCAACTGCTTTATTTGCTGCTCCTGCGGTCGGGCTTTGCGTGGCAAGGCCTTCTACAATGTCCATGGACGTGTCTACTGCGAGGAGGATTACATGGTACGTATAACGCATATGGATATATATAGAATGTATTGATATCTTAATATTGGGATGGTTACAGTATTCGGGCTTCCAGCAGACTGCGGAAAAGTGCGCCATTTGCGGACACCTGATCATGGAAATGGTGAGTTGTTGAAATATCGACTTATTCTATATTTAAATGCAAATATCTATTGGTCTCTCTCTCGATTTTAGATTCTGCAAGCCATGGGCAAGTCATATCATCCTGGCTGCTTTCGCTGCTGCATTTGCAACGAATGTTTGGACGGCGTGCCCTTCACAGTGGACGTGGATCACAAGATCTATTGTGTGAACGACTATCATCGGATGTTTGCGCCCAAATGCGCCAGCTGTGGCAAAGGTGCGCATGAGATGAGCATTTTTGAACAATTTCAAATACATGTGTATGTGTCTCCCTCTCTCGCCCCTTCTCTTTCTCGTAGGAATCACACCCGTCGAGGGCACGGACGAAACCGTGCGAGTCGTGTCCATGGACAAGGACTTCCATGTGGACTGCTATATTTGCGAGGAGTGTGGCATGCAGCTGACCGATGAACCAGACAAGCGTTGCTATCCGTTGGACGGACGCTTGCTCTGCCGGGGCTGTCATCTGCAGCGTCTGGCGCTGCAATCCTCTCCTCACGCCCGCCACCAGGAGCCGGTGTGTGCCTCGTATCAGTATATGGGCTGAAGCTCAGGCTGCCACATCTCCGGCACTGTATTCCATATTTATGGCATTTATCCATTAGCTACATATACCCACATGTATTCCTTGAACGCTGACTGCGCCAGAAGTGGGACTCTAACCCGCTGCTGGCTTTGATATAATCTGTATACACAAATACTTAGAGACTACACTTAAGCTGTGCGCACAAAGCAGTGGATGCTCAGTAAATGCAACCATTTTGTCCCTTTCAAATATATTTCCAAATGCAAAAAATGCTGAACTCAACTAACTGCCTCAGAATACACCAGAAGAGAAACTAAATCAAATGGATATAGATAAACCCTTATATCGGAAAACTATGCGAAATCAATGCTGACAAATGGAAATGAAATCGAAAACAGGCCTGATATTTGAAATTTATTTTCCAAATATTAGTTAGTATTCATCACAGTACTTCGATCATAATTTCTTCGATAGGACATAGGACAGAAATTGTCGAAGGCATGCAGTCAGCTTGTAAATGGTAATTATTTGAAAGTAGACACTTTGTAGAAACTTTTGAAACTGATGAAGCATTGTTTGTATATTTATACGTAAATTTTAATTTGTAAATGTTCAATTGTGGCAATTAACAAACATTTGTTCGCACAAACAACAACACACTACACCTGCAGACTATTGCAATGGAAAGCGTTTTTTTGGTAATTGTTAGCATCCACTGCGTAAACACTTTGAAGTAATCTATTCCAAAATCGCCACTAAACATACATTAATGTAAACAACGGATATTTCTTAATGCATATTAATAAAAAATACAAATATTGAACGAATGATAACTAATGCATGAGGATTTCCATTTGAACCAGCCGCTTATTTGTTTCGGCAGGTATGCGGTATGGCAAGCTGGCTGCCATGTTGGTCAAAGCTTTGGCACGCACGCGTAGGTGCTGAAGCATGGACTCCTTGGAATTGTTGGTAGTTTTGGGACTACCCGTCTCGTTGCCCCGCTGCGACAGATATTCGGTATAAATAATGTTCATGGCGGCCAGAAACACATCGGGCAGCACTTTAATCACCTCCGTCCCCACACGTTTTAGTCTGATCACACAATCGTCCACTTCGGAATAGTTGCTGGGAGTGAGCTTGTTCTTATACAGAATTTCGGTGGCTAGACGATGCTCGCCCTCATGGTAGTAGTCGAAGAAGGTCAAGAGTTCGGACAGCAGCGAGTATGTGACAACTATGTGGGCCTCCAATTCTGTCTTCTTGGTTGTCAGTATTGCGTTCAGTCTCTCCGTAATGCCAGCCAGACGCTCACGCATGCCTCCCTTTTTGGGTGCTTGATGCACCACCTGGGACAGCATCGATGACGCCACTCGCATGGCCTTGTCGAACTGTCCGGCAATAAAGTAGAGCTGTATGGCCAACTCGAAGCTGCCACGATTCGTTAACTCATCGCCCACCATCCCGGCAAGCGAGTACATGTCGTAATCCATTGTGTGGAACTGCACAAAGATGCCGCTGTAAAGAACGATATAGAACGTATTTAAAGTGAATTGAGATAATGTTCTATTATTTTGGAGACCAAAAATCTATTGAAAATCAATCAATCGGTTGGTAATGGAAACAATCTTAGCTTATAGCTCTTTCAGACCTAACTGCTAGCTAGAACACTTATTGAGTCCAGAAATTCGTATAAAATCTCTCAGCGAGCTCAATATTGGCTTAATAGCCAGGTCCGGTTTAAACTTTTTAATATGACTTATTATAATACGCATACATACCCCGAATAACGCCAGGAGCCCGGCACTTGAGGCTCCCCAAATATAAGCTGCAACATGCGCTCGTTGCAGTTGTCGACGAGTAAGTCACAGACGCAGACCATCATAAGATTACGCCCGTCGGCGGCCTTGAAGTGACGTAGGAGGTAGTAATATTGAAGAGCCTCGGCGGTATCTGTCTGCTCAAAGGCTTTAGCGTACATAATGATCAGACGCGCCAGATTGAGGCGACGCATGGGATGAGGATCGTTGGGATCGGTGCTTAGGAGCGGTGTCTGTACGGACGAGGGTGCGCCCAACATGCACAGTTCGTTGAGAGCGATGGCCATATGGACGGCATGAGGACGATTTGCGTCAGTACGGGCCAAAAACTCAATGGCCGACTCGAACTGGCCAGTGAGCGCTAGCACTTGGAAGTAGAGCGGTGCCTTCTCGCGTGCATTAAAATAGCTCTCACCGTATTTTTCAAGAATTAGCGTTTGCAGACCCCCATAAGTCAGCTGTTCGATGTTATACTCGCGTCGATCGTCGGTGCGCAGCACAGATAATTGCAACCATAAGAAGTCATCGATGGTGCGCACCACTTCTGAATGGGGCTCATGCGGATCGCAAGCGAGGACTATGGCATAGACCTGAGAATATGTATAAGCCACAATATGTACCACCATCGAACAATTCTTTTCTATTGGGATTATCAACTTTATGGGTGACACTTACCGCCTTTTTGTATGGATCTGTTGACATACGCAGCTTTTTAGCATACTCCAACTTAAGCTGACCTTCGATCTTGCCGCTTGTCATCTCCTCCTCTGGTCGTTGCTTCTGTGCCATTATTTTTATAAGATCCGGACAGTAAGAGAACTCCTTCAGATACTGAATGGCTGCTTGCCAATCTCCGCTGCGCAAACTAAAGTAAACCAGCGGCCAAAGGGGTTTCCCATTCGCAACATCCAGCAACCCAACAAGCGTTTGCGGGTGCTGAAAGGTGACGCTTACAAACGAGCTGACCATATGATAAATATTCGGAATGCCTCCGCGTTGTGCCACTAGTAGATTCTTCTCTATAATCGTACTCATGTAGATTTTGTAGCGTTGCTCCAGATAGGTGCGCGCCTGCCGGACAAAGACGGGAGTCTTTTGACGCGACGCTATGGGATCCACGTTGCGCGATAAGGGCGTCACATCGGCCATGTACCGCAAGACGGACCACATCTCATGGACCTGCTCATTTTCTAAGAATTGTTGGGACAGATCAGTGAATGTGGCCACCAGGTTGGGCCGCGAACCGCCTTGAATGATCATCTCATTGTAGATGGTTATTTCTTTAGCGTACAAAGATTCGATTTTATTTAGCCGTGAGTAGGGCTTTGCATCCTCGTGCAGTACTGTGGGCACGGTGTGGCGATGCATGTCCGGAAAATCTTGCTGATCGGGTCCGACAAGCGTATGAAGCAGGCGTTGCTTCTCCTCACCCCACTCCCTATAAATGTTGCGCCATTTTTGCTTCTCCACTGCCTCGAAAACCTGCAGTTTGCAAATGTATTATTATTATTATTATGCATCAACAACTAAGAATTAATCGCTACAACTTACACTGCGCTTTGACTCCTCCATCACAGTAAGCATGGCATTCTCACGCTCATTCTTAAGATAGTTGCACACGTCAATGTCGTAGATAGGATCCAAGGATTCGAAGACGTTGCGTGCGGTCAACTGCTCGAGTTTCTGCTTCAGTTTTGGCAAATCAACGCCCTTCGAGCCCATGAATTTGTACCTATGGTTAAGATTGATAATGAGAATAACCATTAGCTGCATTGTGTATCCTTTTTTATTGCTAAAACAGTTCAACTTACGCCTGTAGATCATTTGTGCCGCTTTGTGTGAGTCGAGTGTGCATCTCTTCTGTGGCTTGAACAAATTGCGAAAGTGTGGAGCACTCTACACGCGGCATATCAGTAGCCGTCCTGGTTGTATTTGCCAGGCGCTGAGCCCGAATCAGTAAATCGGCATAGTCCATGATGATCGTATAGGCGTATCAATGTGTTTTAACTGTGAAGGAGTAACTGAATATTTCCTAGGATCGCGAAATGATTAAGACTGTGCAAAACGCCGGCTGGCTGGCTCTGCAGCAACAGAAAAACAACTATAGGCGGCAGAGATGCCATTTGTTCGCCCAGTGATGTACCGATTGCGGAGTTATCAATGCGGCAGTAATCGGTGCTCGATTGCGGCACTTTCCGATTTCTGGTGAGTGCAAAGTATCGATGCTGCACAGCTAGCAGCTAGTATTAAAAGCATTCGAACGAGTACCGTGCAACTGTATAGGGTGGACGGATGTGATGTGAGAGAAGTCGCTTTTTAAAAATAATCATTCAGTAGCTATAGCAGCCATCAATAGCAACAAATACGATCTATACTCGAGCGCGAAAACGTATTTTTTTATAGTGCAGAAGTAGCAGTGCGACTATACACACATTGCGAGAGTGTATGTATGTGCATGTGTGTGGAAAACAAAATACAATACAAAAAATTAGCACAACAAAAGCAAAAACACACGTATTTCGTATAAACGCACGTCACGCGGACAACAACATTAAAGAATAACGTTAAGTGTGGTAAGAAAGAAGTGACCGCTAAGCACCATCACACAACCACAATCACCAAAAACTAAGCAGAGCCTAAAAAACTATACATAATATATAATACATACATACATACATACAACATAAATAATCGAAAACATGTCAGCCGCCGATGTTGAGACGCAACCGCAGCAGGAGACGACGAATGGCACCAGTAAATTTGATGTGCCCGAGATAGAATTGATCATCAAGGTGAGTGATATATGCGTGTGTGTGTGTATGCGCATATCAATATGTATTTCATAAAATTGTCTACATACATGAGTACATCGGTATGCAAAAACATTACATACATGTAGATTACATATCCATGTACGCTATGTACATCTGTATCCTAAAAACGTATGTAAATATATATGGCTGTAATGTATATGTGTGTGTATTTTAAATTTCTTATTTATGCGCTGCTTGCAATTTTCCATGCCACACTCTCTCTTGCGCGTTTCGTATGCAAAAACCCAGAGCGCGCACAAAATTCACACCAATGCTCAAAATTATATATACACCCGACAAGCTAGCTAGAATATTAAAATATGAACTTTATTTCAGGATTTTAAAATATATGTTAGATGTACTGGATATTTATATCTTTGAATGTTTCCCTCAGGACATGTTTTTATTATTATTCAGCTAGGAATGCCAATGTTTTTCATGTTTTTAAAATGTCACCAAAGTTTCGCTTTCAAAATAATTCCAAATACTTTGAAGCCAACCCAAGTATTCTAATGATAGAATTTATATTCATTTTCAAATTTGTGTGTTTGTACATCAACTTTTGCAATTGAATACTATTTCTTTTGTTATGAAACTAATTTATTTTGTAAAGGTGTTCATAGAAAATATAATTCTAGAATCTATTATTGAAAATAATGATTGCACAGAAGAAAGAAACAACATAGATTTGTAAATTAAAATCAACTCCAACCGATTTCTCTAGAACTGTTGAAGCTCAAGTTGAAGGCTTTGCTTGTTGTTTCTATTGTTTTGAGCTCGAGTGTATGTGTGTGTGTGTGTGTGTGTGGCAAAAACAAAGCATCAGCAACAACAACAACGAAGTGAAAATGCAACACAGACAAACAAGCATCGTCAATATCAATGTTGTTGTTGCATGAACTTAAAATGCCGCAACATACAGACATTGTCGTAGCAATTGTTGTTGTTGTTGTTGCTTCTACAGTTTTCTGTGTGTCACACACAGGCACCAACAAGACAAGAGCAAATAAAAATTATTTTTATTTTCTATTCATTTATGTTCGCGTTATGGACACACACATACATACAGACAGACAGACTTATGAATAAATATTGTATGTATGTATGTATTTTCCTTGTCGTTTTCATTACTTTTGTTTGGTTAACCCTTTTTTACACATCCCAATAGCAGCAGCACCAACAACTACAATAGCAGCGCCTCTGCCGCCCCCTCTTTGCCGTTATTCTGCTGTTGCTGCTGCTTCTTCTTCTTGTGCTATTGTATTATTCTTCGTCGCCTGCTGCTTGTATCTGTGCAACAGTGCGAGCTGTTGTTCTTGTTGTTGTTTGTTGTTGTATCTAAGCAAAAACTGGTTTCTGCCAAATACATGCATATTTAGTATACTCCGTACATATGTATGTATGTAAGTTCGTTTGTATATACATACATATATATGTACATATGTATATGTTTGTATCTTCCTGCTGTTGCTGCTGCTGCGCTACTCTTTTATTTCTCCGCCAGCTAAGCAGCACACATACATATGTACATACATACATACGTAAGCATTTTCTTGCGCATTTGTTAATAATATTTGCTCTTCATTCTTTGCAAAAGCTATTCCATTATTATTTTTACACGCTCCGTTATCTTGCATAAAGTTTAATCGCATTTCATTCCGACGACAAAAATTCATCATCAAAAGCGATTGGCGGCTTTTTCCCCAGCCCCTGCCTATGACACTGATTTCCTCTTCCTTAGCGGCTTCGATTCATTTTTTTCCGCACATTTGTTATTTGTATTTTGGTTTTATCTGTTGGTGTGGCGCGCTCAGCTTGATTTCTAAAATTTCTTAAGACGTACGTCATGTTCTCTCTCTGAGACGCACACACGTACACAAACACTCATATTTATCTAACTATGCACATATGTATGCATGTATAGATGTATGTATGTATATGTATGTATATGTATGTATGAGTTAGCAACTAAAGAGCAAACACTTCAGTCAGTCAGTCAGTCAGTCAGTCAATCCAGAGTCACTTCATCGCTTCATCGCTTGTTTTGTCCGCTACCCTGCCCTGGCCCGCCCCTCCCTTCCCTTCCCCGCCTCCAACAACCTTACCGAAGGTCTCGTATTTGCCATAGTAATTGCTTTTTGCGTCCGCTTGTTTTATTGTTGATTCTATTAGTAAGCCTCAATCATATTTTGTATTTTTGGCGCTGACTTCGCGCTTCACCCACGCGCTGTCAAAAAGCCGCACCTTCACACACACACACACACACACACACATTGAGGCAGTTGCATGAGTAATACCAAAATTTATGCACGCGCCCTTTTCCTGTGTGTTGCAACAACCAAAAAACCAGTCGAGTTGTTGCTGTCTCGATGATTGAAAGCCAAACAGAGCTCTATGGCTATTAAGAACCATTCTCCCGTCCATTTGTTGTTGTTGACGTTTTCAGAATATTCCATAATCTTCTAAATTAAGGAACTATAAATCATTTGCTATCAAAACCCATTATATACTCCGTTAGAAATTTGATGAACTTTTTCTTTAACAACAAAGTAAGAAATGTGTTAAGCAGGCGGAAAATAGTAGCTCGAGATAATTGTTGCCATGTCTAGCTGTTATAGAAACATACATACATACATACATATGTGTGTATATTGTTCCAGAAAGTTTTTGGATACTCCTTTTCCATATAAATTCCTTACACTCTTAACTCAATATGTATTTCTTGTGCCTTAATTCGTCGACGTTTGAATATTATTTTTGAAATATTAAACACTTATTTTTACCCGAAACATCATTTTTGCAAGCAATGGACTAAGTGTCCAATGATGAGTATAACTTTCTTTTGCTCATTAACTTCAAAATCATCGAAGGCCCTGTTTTTACTGAGTGAAGAGACAAGCTTTAATACTGAGCAGATCAGAACTATACGTGTGCTATAGCTCAGCACATTTACCAATATTGTAGATAGGAAAAGCAGCCTGATTCCAGACTGAAAATAATTACTGAAATAGTTTATAGAGAAGGCAGAGGAAAGTCCATTCTAACTTATGAGTATGTACATACATACATATGTAATTAGAAGAAGTGGGTTATTAGTCGAAAGAGTATTCCCCATTTGTCAGCATCTGAATCTGAATTATTCCGTTAGAACTAGTTTGAAGCAATAATGTGAAATAAATGAAATTAATTGGAACTAATTTTTTTTTTATTGTTCTTTCTAAACGGCAACTAACTAATAAGATATTCAAGTCAATAAAGTTTTCACTCTATAACTAATTTGCCTGTCAAATATTTCTTGCTGCGGGAGGGGGCAGCTGATTGAGGTGGAAAGTGGTGGGGCGGGGCGGGGCGGGGCGGTACGGTATGCTGCATGCTTTGGATGGTCGATCGGTCGATGTAACCGCTTGCTTGGGCGCACCTGTTGCCGCTTCAAAACGTTTCACACTCAATGGAGCAGAGCGCAGCACGCACGCTTGCAGCAGCAGCAGCACCACCACCAGCAACAACAACAACAACTACAACAACAGCAACAACAGTGACGTCTTTGACATAACACATTTGAATTTTTCGTGCTGCTGTGTTATTTGTTTTGGGCAATCAAAGCTAGCATTGCAATGAGAAGCAACAACAACAGCAAATAACAACAAACGTGCTGAGCAAATACATAAAAAAATACACAAAATTAAAAAGAAAGAAGAAGAAGAAGAAGAAGCAGAAGTAGGCACGAAAAACGTTTAAATACATACACACATACATAGTATGTTCATATGTGTACACCAAAAGTGAAAGTTCAATTTGGTGAGCCCAAATACTTGCTTGCCTCTGCCGGCTGCCGCTTGCCTCTGTGTTGCATTGAGGAAAGCAGTCGCGGCATTCACATTCACTCTTCAACAGCAACAACTTCATACAACAGCAACAGCAACAACAACAACACGAATTGCCTTCGTGCGATCGCTCGTTCCGCGCAACAAACGCTACAAACAAATGTTGTTTTATTGTTGTTGCTATTGCCGTTGTTGGGGCCAAACCACCAAAACAATCATTGTACGCTAAACAGGTTTTTCTCGTGCAGTTTTCCGCCTCCTTGGCCGCGTCGCCCACACACACACACACACACACACACACACACACACTCATTAAGAGCCAATATACAGTGCGGCTCACTTGATTAGGTTCATCGATTCTGGATTAATACAATCATATGCTAAGCAGCTGATATTCTACCAATTAAGTTTTTAATTGACTTTAATTCGCTTTCAAGGCCATATGTCATTCAAAAATATGACATTAAAAAATGCTGCTTTCAGCTGCAATTTCATTTTTATTCGATTTTCAATTAAATGTACTCTACTCCTATTTGAATAAATAGTATGATGATATTTCAATTTAAAAACGATCCTGTGAAAAATGTTGTACCACACTTTTTGCTCACTCTGCTATACTAAAACAAAACTAATACTTATTATGAAGAATGTTTTAAAACATGACTAGAAATGCGTCTTAATAGAATTCATAAAAGATAATTTATAATTTCAACTAAACGCTGGCCCGTTTCCGTTTGAAATACTTGTGTATTAATTAGTAGTTCGAGAAGAGGAAGCGAATCTTTAAAATTATAGCGTACTTATAAAATACATGTGTATGTACTTGTATATGTATATCCATGACTGGCCTTTTCTATGCAACATTTCGATTCATGTCATTCATAAGTAAAGCTTTATTTGTAGCTTTTTTAGTGATATACTTTATCATTTTCGTAATCCAAACAACAGGAATATTTGTATATTAATAAAATTAATGCTAGGATTCCCCATTAAGTTATTTTTTCATTTCAAAGTATTAGACAATTCGTTGATTTTCGTTGGAAGCTCCATAACTGATTAGAAACTCCAGCACAGAAACCGTAAAAGTCACAGAATGTGACTTCGAAGTGGAGAAACAAACATTTCAGATCAAGTTGGGCGACTGTTATCGAAATG